TCCGCCAAGAGCGTGATGGAGGCGTTTGCACAGCACCAGCGCGACGAGACAGCGGACCAGCTTGTCCTCAGTGGCATGATGTACCTGTGTAAAGTGGCACACGACTCGCTCAATGCAATGACGTTTGAGGATGAGCGGAAGCGGGTTGCCTCCCTCATCATCGCCTTCCTCACCAAGGTACGCCGCACTCGTCACAGCTGTGCCGATGCGTGTGCCTAATGCATGCGTGGAAGCGTACAGACGCACCTACACGCGCACAAAACTCACATGTTTCTCTCCCTATCTCACGTCCACACACACACACACACACACACACACACACACACACACACACACACACACAACACACACAACCGCACACAACCGCGCGCACGAGCAGGCTGCGTTTGGACGCAACTTTGAGGCTGCGCTCGAGTTCTTCGTGGAGGCGCGCGGGAACTTTTCGAATCTGGACGCTGTGCTGAAGTATGAGGTGCACCGGGTCAACGCACTCATTATGCAGACACACGCCATTGTCAAGGGGAAGCACAACAGGAAAACGTCGCAGTTTGTTCGCTCGTGCATCGCCTTCACCTTCATCACCATCCCCACCATCTCGGACTACATCATGCGCATCAAGCTGTATGTTGCGTCCGCGTGCGTCGCCATTGTGAACCACGCCCTCTCGCAAGCCGACGTCTTTGTCCAGGCGGCCATCGACCTCATCCCAGATCTTCCAGAACGCATCGATGTACGCTGCGCTGGGCATGTGCTTGTTTGTGCTTGTGTGCGTGTGTGTATAGAACTGCGTGTGTGTGTGTGTGTGTGTGTGTGTGTGTGTGTGTGTGTGTGTTTGCCGAGGTGGCTCGATATCCCCCTCAATCGCTGACGTCCCTGTCTGTCATCACTTCTGCTGCGCAGGTTGACATGACGATGGAGCTGATTGATCCGTTCATTGCAGACGGCGTTGAGACCATGGCCGGCGCCCTCCTGGTACAGGGAGAGAGAGAGAGAAGGGGAGAGAAGAAGGAGAAGGGGAGAGAGGAGGAGTGTGTGTGTGTGTGTTTGTTTGTTTTTGTTTGGGACAGCATACACACAACCCACTCCCACCCCCCCCCCCCACACACACACACAACACACAACACACACATACACACACATCCACATGCTTGTGTGCGAACATTCACCACCCTCAACACCCCTCACTCCAACCCCTCCTTTTTTGCAACCACAGATGCTGCCTGATCATCCTGAGAAGGACCGGCTGTTCTTGCACAAGCACTTGTTTACCACGATCAAGGAGCGCGAATGGTGGGTTGCTGTCCAATGGGGTGGGTGGAGGAGATGTTTCGAATTGCGATGGTGAAAGGGCTGAGGCGCACCACATCAAGGAATCGATCACAGAAGGATAACTCCAACATCAGCCACGACCATTCTTTTCACATCTCTCGCATGCCATCACCGCCACCTCATCTGTGACAGGAAACGCCCTGAGTGCTATTGCCGTGCGCTGTTGTCCCTCATTCGCATGCTCGGCGGTCTTGCACAACCGTCCTACCTCTACGGCGCAGACGGCGGTGAGACGAAAAGCGATGATGATGCTCATGGTCGATGACAAGGTTTTGCCCGCAGGCAAACATGCTGTGCTGCTTTGCTTTCACACGTGCATTCCACACACACACACACACACACACACTCTCTCTCTCTCTCTCACTCTCTCTCTCTCTCTCTCTCTCACACACACACACACAAACACATCCGTGCGTCTGCCTTGTCAGTTGAGGCGAACGATGCGCTGTATGCGTCGAGTCCCAAGTTCATGGGTGACGTGAGCACGATGACCAAAGCGGTGATTGAAGAGCTGTTTGCCGTCATGAAGGAGATGCCGCCTGGACAGGCAAAGACGGCCGCACTCTGCGACACCTTCGACACGTACGCGCACCCCTCCAAATAACCTGATGCTTTGTTGTGTGATTGGGAGGTGTTGATCTAGTGTGCTGCTGTTGATGCTGCGTTGTTGTGATCGACGGTGCTCGTCAAGTGTGCCACCTTGTGCTAATGTGCGCGTGTGCACGTGGTTGCCTGCAGGCTCGCGCGGACCGGCGATATGCAACAGGCCGAGGCCGCGCAGCTGGCAGCAGACTTTGCTGTGCTTGCACGCAAGCAATCCAGCGACGCCTCCGTACGTTTTGTGTGTGTGTGTGTGTGTATGTGCGTGCGTGTGTTTGTATGTGTTTGTGTGTGTGTGCGCGTGTGTGTGTGTCTGTGTGCTGGTGTATCTGTGTTCATGTGCTGGGGAGCGGCTTTGCATGCAGTAACAAGTGGCACATGGTAATGGTTCTGCTTTTACTGATCCTGCACACACCACAAACAACACTCTTTTTCTCTTGCAGGTGCGCGTGCAACAAACGCTGAGCGAGCTCACTCGTACCCACGTGCCCGGCGCTGAAGACCTGGCCCTCCTCTGCGCGTAGCAACACACACATATGCACACACGCACATACACCTCGTTAACTCTTCCATCGATTGCTGCCTGTGGCCTGTTCTCGTCTTCGTTGCTTCGTTGCTGTTCTTGTTTCATGTGTGTGTCAGCAGAATAAATCCGTGCCTGTGAGCCACGATTCAAACGCTTCCTCCTCTTTGTCGTTCTCTTGGTCTGACAGCAGCGAGAACAGCGTGCGCCCACAACCAGGTGGTGGGTCATCAAACATGTCACACAGCAGATCTGGCTCCCGCTCGTTGTTGTCTGGCACTGCTGGCTGCATTTGTTGCCGTTGCTGTTGCTGTTGCTGTTGCTGCTGTTGAAGATGAGCGCAGACATGCTGTTGGAGGTCAACATCTCCAGCTTGTTCTTCTGCCTCTCCTCTTCCTCCTCCCCCTTGTTCTGCTTCTCTTGCCGCTCTCTCTGCCTCCTGGTGTTCTGCTTGTCTCTGTTGTCCTTCGTCTCGTACTTGGTCGTGCTCAGCTTTTTGTCTTGCTTGATGCTGCTGCACTTGACATTCTTGTTGCTGGTTTGCTTCGCTGTCGATCTTGGCACGCTTGTGTTGCTGAACCGTCCCATCACCCAAAAACGCTGATGCAGTTGCTGTTTCTGTTTCTGTTGCAGTTTCTGTTACTGTTTCTTCGTTTGCCTTTGGTGTCGCTGTTGCTGGTGGCGCGTTGCATGTGTCAAAGTCATTCTCGACAAGAGTGGGTCCTGAATCCTCATCCTTTTTCTGTGCCATGTCTTCGTGCTCCTGTGCTTGGCTTTCACTTGACACCAACAACCGTGTCTGCTCATGGTACTTCTCCTCTGCCTCAGGGTGTTGCTGTGACTGTGCCTTTGCATGTTCAGCTTCTGCTGCGTTGGTCTCGGTTCTGCTGATGACGCCACTCTCCTCGGTGGATCGCGCCTGTGTGCCCGATCGGCGTGATGCGTACAAGAGCTGCCGATGCTGCTTGCTCCGTCGCTTGTGAGCCGCCCACGCGCGCTTGTTCTTGAACACCTCATCGCACAGCGTGCACACAATGATGCCCGCGCTTGACGATGGCTTGGAGCATCGGCCATGCTGCTGTTGGCTGCAATCACCGGGATGTTTGGTGTCACCGCAGCTATCTTCTTCGTTGTGGTGGCCGTCAGTCACTGTCTCATCGCTGGCACTGCTGTCGTCTGCCACGCTGGATTGGTGTAGCTGCTGCCGCTTTTGTTGTTGTTGCTGGTGATCAAGTGCAGCGCGCTGCTGTTCATCGTCGTGGTGTTGCTGCTGCTTGCTAGTTGTTGTGCTCGTCTCAGCTGCTGCGTTGCTGCTACTTTGCCCGTTGTTTTCACTTTGCGCACCTTTTCGCCGTGAGGCGTACAGGAGGAAGCGATGCCGCTTACTGCGCCGTTTGTGCGCTGCCCATGCACGCCGGCTCTGGAACATTTCATTGCACACCGTGCACTCCATCCTCGTGTTGCTGTTATTGTTGTTCAGAGGGGCTTGTTCGGTAGGGTACACTGGGTACAATCGTAGTTCTGAGGGAGTTCCTGTTCACCTGCTCCCTACCTCTCGCTCGTGAGCTCGTAGGTGATGCTGAGGTGGAGACTGAATGTGTGTGTGTGTGTGTGTGTATGTGTGTGTGTGTGTGTGTGTGTGTGTGTGTGTGTGTGTGCTGTGTGTGTGTGTGTGTGTGTGTATGCAGCGTTTGCGCGGGAAAAGGGGGTCTTCTCAAACAAGTCATGCAAAGCGTCTTGTTTGTGTTTGAGTTTCGCGCGGACACAAGGACGAGTTTTTGCTGAAGATGTGCACAAATCGTCATCAACACAAACAAGCGGTATGAGCGGCGACGCTGATGACGGGGAAGGCGAGCACGTTCCTTTGCTGGAGCAGGCTGGCGGACGAGATGGCGACGAACGAGGCGGGACTGGCAATGGGAGCGACGGCGGCGGTGGCAGCGGCAGCAGTCAAGGAAGGAAGAAGAAGGGTGGCAAGGGGCTGTCAAGAAGGTCAGGTTTGCGGGCAAGCCTGATGCGGGCGTCTGCGTGGTTTGGTGTTGACGATGCACCACAGATTGGGGTGGCGGTGCGAGCCAGCAAGAAGCAGCGCAAGCGGTCGAGTGACAAGCAGGGCGAGGGGTCGCCAGCCTCGCACTCAAGCAGCCCACAGCAGCAAGGCCAATACAATGGAGCAGCCGAAGGCATGGGCCCTTCTTCATCCGCAGCAACAGGGGTTGCAGATACAACCGCAGCTACGTCTGCCTCAGCAACGACAGACACAGCCCACCTGAAGAGCGCTTGGTTTCACGGGCGCATCAGTGCGCAGACGGCGCGGCGGCGGTTGGAGACAAAGAGCCCGGGGTTCGTCGAGGGGGGCGTATTTCTTGTTCGACAAAACTCCCACTGCGAGAACATCCTCGTCCTTGCCTGCAACGGGCGCCCGTGGTCCTTCAAGATCCATGAAGTCTCACCATCTCGTGACACACATACAACACAGTTTCGGCTCGGGTCAGAAACAGCCTTCCACACCATGCCAGATCTCATTGCACACTACCGCAGCACGCGCGGTGGCCTGCCGTGTCGTCTGACTGCTGGCGTTCCGCGCCGACGCGACAACCTCAAGGTGAGCATTGCCTTGCGCCAATTGTGTGTGTGCGTACGCGTGCGTGTGCGTGCGTGCGTGTGCGTGCGTGCGTGCGTGCGTGTGTGTGTGTGTGTGTGCGTGCGTGCGTGCGTGTGTGTGTGTGTGTGTGTGTGTGTGTGTGTGTGTGTGTGTGTGTGTGTGTGTGTGTGCGTGCGTGCGTGCGTGCGTGTGTGTTTCCTTGTTTTCTTGTTTGTGGGTTGGTAAAGTGTGTGGATTGTCTCTGGCTGTGTTAGTCATCCCCTGTCTCACCGCTCCACCTCTCCAACATTCCGCCCGCCTCATCTTCGTGCATCATAACTGCAACGTCCCTTCTTGTCAGCGCATGTCCATGGCGCTGCTTGGCGGCCGCGGGCACGAGGAAGCAAAGGACTGGCAGGCGCAGGCGGGCCTCGAAGAAAGCAACGCCACCTCCACCGCCAGGACGCGAGACGATGGAACAACGACCGGCACACCTTCAGTGTCCTCGTCATCACCGCCAGCAGCAGCTGCGATTGCAGAGTACAATTCTGGCGATAACGGCGAGAGTTACGGGACTGCAGGCGGTGACAGGAGGAGGAAGAAGAGGAGAGGAACACGGCGTGATGGAGGAGAAGGAAGGAAAGAGAGGAGGAGTGAGAGAAATGATGACGGACGCGGTGGTGGCAGTAGCGGTGGCGGCGGTGATCGGGGGAGACGAGGGCACAGGAGGAGCGAGGACGAGTCGAGTGATGACGACGACTACGAGTATGAAGGCGGGTATGAGATTATCGGTATGGACCAGTTCACTCCATGGTTTACCATCATCGTCACCGTCGTGCAAGTCATTGTCATGGCTGCAATCCTCATCCGCACGGGTCTGCAAACCGTCTCACGCCAACACGACGAGGTTCGCTCTGTGTGTGTGTGTGTGTGTGTGTGTGTGTGTGTGTGTGTGTGTGTGTGTGTGTGTGTGTGTGTGTGTGTGTGTGTGTGTGTGTGTGTGTGTGTGTTTGTGTGTGTGTGTGTGTACACATGAGTGAGGTGCTGAGCGCTCTTTCCACCGCTCCGACTGTTGACACCCACGTCACGCTCGCCTCAATAATCGCAGGAACTTCACTTTGGGTGCTGCGTCAAAGATGACGAAGGATTTGAGGTGTGAACACACCACGACTGCACTTGCTTCGCTGCTTTCCTTCACCACAAAGACACAACCACGCATACCCTTGCACATCCATGCACATCACCTCACCTTACACCACCACCACCACCACCACCACCACCACCAGTCGTGCGGCATGACAGCTGCTGACGGCTGCCCTGCAGATGCCTCGTTTCTCGGCGCCGGCGTCGCCTGTCCTTCATCCTGCTGTCAGTGCACTTGGGGAAGGGGGGGGGGCGAGGCAGGGGAGAAGGGGCTTCGTGGTGGTGTGGTGTTGAATGTTGGGTTTTGCTGACTGCATTTGCTGCATGGCGCGATGGTGAATGTGCAGATATGGTTTCTGGGTTACGCTGCACTCCAAGAACAACAGCACCATCATCATCATCATTGCCATCATCTGCAAACACCTGTCCTCACACCAAACCACGTCATGTCTCAGCTGAATTTCGTCTTCGCCCATGCTGCACGCAATCAAACGGAACGTGTCAGGTCCTCACCAGAGGTGTGTTCAATGGCGTGTGCGTGTGTGCGTGTGTGTGCGTGCGTGTGTGCGTGTGCGTGTGTGTGCGTGTGTGCGCGCGTGTGTGCGTGTGTAGTTATGGTTTGGGTCTTTGCTTCTTTTTTCATGTTGGCCAAGTGTTTGCTGTGCTCACCACCACCACCATCACCCCTATCGCACCCGTCGATGTGCAGACCACTGCACGTTCCTCTCCGGCATCTGGCAGTCGGATGCGCAGCTCTGCAGCGACGTCAGCTGTCTCAAACACACGTGCGGCTTCAGCATGAAGGTCAGAACTGCCACGCACGAGGAAAATCTACCATGTTGTACTTGTTGTTTGTGCGTGCGTGTGTGTGTGTGTGTGTGCTTGCATTGCCCTTTTCACCCGTCCGTCCGTCCGTCCGTCCGTCCGTCCGTCTGTCTGTCTGTCTTTTTTGGCACTTTACTCATTGCACGTGCCTGATTTGCCGCATTGACAGGACCCATCGGAACCGAATCAGTGGTATCGCTTCTTCACGTCCATCTTTGTGCATGCAGGCATCATCCACATTGTGAGTACACAACCAGCATACGCGCCAATATCTTCTGGCGTGTGGGTTCTCTTTCAAGCAACTCACGCTCACGTTCCACTTTCCATCTTCCCGCCTGATCTCGCCACTACAATGACGCCCTCACCAACCGCTCACCCCTGTCATCACCACCACCACCACCACCGCTCACCACTGTCATCACCACCACCACCACCACCACCACCACCACTCCCATCAGTTTATCGTTGCGACGTTCCAGTGGACGGCTGCCGCCGCCGTTGAGCGCAAATGCGGATTCCTGCGCATGCTGCTCATGTACACCATCGCCTGTGTTGGCGGTACGCGGCCGGGTCGCCAATCTCGTCTTGTTTGAATGTGTGCAGCTCTTGCCTGGCTGTGCCATGTATGTGTATTCGCGTGCTAGTGGTGGCTGCACCTTGTGCTCGTGCCCATATTTCCTACGACCACTGCATGCCCACCTGTGCACGTCCTTCCTCTGTGTGTATGTGCGTCATTTCAGGCAATTTGGTGAGCGGCATCTTCTCTCCGCTGTATCCACAGGTGAGATGGCGATGTACAAAACGTGTGCTGTGCCGTGATCGCGCCGTGTCTCTTGTCTTTGCAACATCACTTCATCCTCGTTCCACATCACGACGTGTCATGATGACCCCCTCCTCCCAAATCTCGTCAGGTCGGCGCTGCCGGCGGAGTGTTTGGCGTTCTCGGCATCTCCATTGTTGATCTCTTCCACGTACGATCATTCCCGGTCATGTGTTTTGCACCACTCGTCATCCATTGTCATCCGTGGTGCACACACACATTCGCACACATTCACACACAAACACACGCACGAGAAAGCAATGCCCTGTGCGTACTGCACCTGCCTTTCTCATCAAGCTCTTTATGTGTGTGTGTGTGTGTGTGTGTGTTTGTTGGTGATTCGTTGGCAGTCGTGGCCGGTGATTGAACGGCCGATGTCCAAGCTGCTGTCACTTCTCATCGAGGTGAGCCAGGCACGCGCACATGCACGTATGTACATGCACACGTATGTACATGCACACGCCATGTACCACAACTAACCGCCCCTCCCCCCAACATGTCATTGCGCACCATCAGATTGCTGTTCTATTCTTCATCGGCACTCTCCCATGGATCGACAACTTTGCTCACATCGGGTACGTGGCGACACGCACGCACACACACACACACACACGCACGCACACACACACACACACACACACACACAAATTACGGCTCTCTTTTCATGTATTGCGTATGAACCTTAGCTAATCCATTCCCCCTTTCCCTTCAACATACATGTTCTAACTCCGCCCAATCCTTCCTGCAGCGGATTTGTGTTTGGCGCCGTCTCCGCGGTTGTGTTTCTCCCATACGTCACCTTTGGCAAATTCGATGCCGTCAAGAAAGGGTGAGGTGTTCATGTTTGGTTTTGACCTCACGGGGTTGATTTCTGCTCCTGTTGTCGCTTCTCATAAGTGGGCATTACCTGCCACAGTCACAACACACTGCCCACAACATCCACTCTTTTCCTTCGCAATCCTTCTGTATCAAGCGCTCACCATTGACGCTCACCTGTGTCCATTCGACACCTGCAGTGTACTGCTGTGCGTGTGCATTCCGCTCTTGATTGCGCTCTTCGCTGTTGCTCTCATTCTCTTCTACGAAATCCAGGACTCTGAGTTCTGCCCGGGCTGTGACGCAATCCAGGTAGCGTTGTGTGTGTGTGTGTGTGTGTGTGTGTGTGTGTGTGTGTGTGTGTGTGTGTGTGTGTGTGTGTGATGCAATTCACTTGTTAGCTGCGTGCACCTCACATCTTACATGTCCATCCCCCCTCCCCCAATGCCACCACCATCTCCGCCGTTGTCAGTGCATCAGTTGGGTCTCTGGCCTGTGCAACAGCATCGACTTTTGAGCAAGTTGCAGGGTGCATCGTTTCATGTTTCACGTTCATATTTCATGTTCATGTTCATCGCCCTCCCACGACCATACCGGGTTAACTAAAGGCGTGGTGGTGGTGGTGACGTGCAGTTATGTACAGCAGCAATGGTGGTGAATAAGCGCACTCAAGCGCCCGCTATCAGAAGAAGAAAATAAACAACACAGAACGCACAGCAAAGCAATTGGGTGACACACAAGCGCGCAAGTCTAGAATCCGCTGTAACACCAACAGCACGGCAACGAGGAAGGAACACCGACGACATCGCAAAGAAATGGAAGGAACAACAGTGATGTGACCTCCCCAATTCCACCATCAACAAAAGCCACAAAACACAAAGCAGCAGCACGAGGAAGGCTTTCCCCACAGCTCTAAATCTCCGTCACGCCGCGGAGTGATGGTGCCAACGCAAACACTTCCATGCGCACGACACCAAAGAACTTGGAGCCTGCAGGCGCGGGATAGTGGTGGTGGCGGCGGTGAGTTGGGGGGGGGGGTTGAAAAGAGGTGACGCACATGTGAGATGAAGTGACTCTTTTGAACAAGCAGGCACGAATGAGTCGACCACAAGATCAAATACAGACGCACACGCACGCACACACCTGCGAGCGCGGTGGGGACGTCTGAGCGTGTTCCAAACGCCTGCAGGAAGCTGTGTGACTGCTCGTTTCCGCTGCATGAGCTGGTGATAACGAGATCTGGCTGGCGCGTCAAGTCATACGAGCCGTACGCGACACACGCGCTCCTGTCATCGCGAGGGCGGCCGAAGTGATTGGGGAGGTGGTCAGTGGCGAAGGACGAAAGGGTGAGTATGCAAGCAGCCGATGGCACACACAGACACACAGACAGACAGACAGACAGACAGACACAAACACAGACACAGACACAGACACAGGCACACACACACACACACACACACACACAAGAGCCGAACGCACTCATCGAAACGCAGGCCTGCGTTGCCCTGTGCCTCGTATTTGGTCGGCGGATACCCTTGTGGATTGTCCAGACTGAACAGGAACGAGGGTCGCAGGCTGCTGTTTGGCTGGCGCGGGTGGCGGTGGTGCTCTGGCTGCTCACCCCATGCGTCCCACGTGAAGCCGCCAATGGTGTACCCGGTCGTTGTCTGCGCGACCACAAACGTCGGGCGGCGCCCACGGCACGCTCGCAACACATCCCCACAGTCGTCCCCGTGCTCGCTCGTGCTGAAGATGCACTCCCACCGCGCACCAACGTCACCAAACCAGCTGTTGAGCAGATGCTGCTGCGCCGCGCTCACGACCTCGGATCCCGCGAACATGCGCGAGCCAGCCCGTGGGCGGAGTCTGACGTCATCGGGCGGGAGGACTGCCTCGCCACTCATGTGACGCGCGCGCGTTCGGGCCATCATCCCCGGCAGGATGCAGAGCGGCTCGACGGTGGAGTCGTAAAACGTTTCGGTGAGCAAGAGCGGGCGCAGGGCCGGCATGAGCCCCGCGAGTGCATCACGAACAGCATCGCGCTCCTTCATCGGCAGCAGCGCCTCGGCGGGGTCGTCCGTGCTGCTCTCGCCCATGGTCGCGCCAAACCCAAAGTTGTCGTCGTCGTCGTCGTCCAAGCCCGTCTCCGCCGCGTCAAAGGTGAGCGGGTCAAAGGCGCTGTTGGCGATAAAGCCCGCGTTGAAGCGGCCCCACATTACCATCCACCGGAACACCATGTCCTCCTCCATGCACAGCTCATCGCTCGACAGCAGCCGCAGCATCGCCGCCTCCCCAAGATGAAGTGCCCCCGGCTTGCACAACACGAGTCCCGGGCGCTGCAGGAACACGCGCTCGCACGCCCGCCGAAGGGCTTGCAAGCTGCCGCCACTGCCACCTTCATCTGCTTCTTCGTCGTCGTCCTCCTCCTGTGCAAGTTGGGTGGAAACCTCGAGGAAGTACGCACAGTTTTCGACGGAGATGCTTGCAAGCAGTTGCGACTGCACAAACGCTGTGACGCGTGCAAGCTCAAACGTTTGCGCGGCGTGCCATGCCTGCAGGAGCAGCTCGGCGCTGGGCACAGGTGTGAGGTCGACATCGTGTTGGCGGCACTGCTGGTAGCACAGGTCCAGCGCAGCAACAGCGCCGTCCACCGTGAGCGTCTCAAAGTGCGCCTCTTCCTCGTCAACATCACCGCCAACTGCCGCTGTCTCCGCCAGCGCCTTCAACAGCGGGCTGTCGCACATGGCGAGCACGGCCGTGTGCACATACACGGGCGCCGCGTCGCCACCGACGGTGATGGTGAGATCGCTGGTGTCACGCTCGTTCACCCGTACGTCAAAGGCCGACGTGTCCAGCCGCATCTTGGGCGCGTCCGACGTCTCGCGCGTGTGCTCGTTCCCAAGCGCAACCACGTCTGTGTCTGTGCCCGCTGCTGCGCCCGTGAGCTGGTTGAGGTCTGTTGGCCGGATGGACGTGTCCACGGTGCTGCTGCCGTTGTCGCCCGCGAGCGTCAGGGCCCCTGCTGATCGCACAGGTGGTGGCGGGACGCGTGTTGGCGTGTGCTGCTGCTGCTGTTGCTGCTGGTGATGGTGCGTGTGTGGCGGCGGTGGGTGGACGGCTGCTGTTGGGGAGGTTGATCGCGACCGCACCTTTGGTGAAGCGCCGCCTGAGTGGTGGTGGTGGTGGTGGTGGTGGTGGTGTTCCATCTCAGCGTCATCTTCCTCCTCCGCTTCTGCTTGGTGCCGCTGCTGTTTGAGTTTCGCCTCGAGATCCATTTGAAATTCGCGGCGGTTCACGGCAGGTGACGCAGAGGTCACATCTTGTTGTTGTTGTTGTTGTTGTTGTTGTTGTTGTTGTTGTTGTTGTTGTTGTTGTTGTTGTTGTTGTTGTTGTTGTTGTGCCGCGTGGCGTGCGACCGCAGCAGCGAGCGGCTCGTGTTCAACCACGGGCTGAACACGACGCGTGAGACAGAGTGTGGGGAAGGGGAGAAGAGAGGAGGGTGCAAGGTTGTGAGGGGTAGGTGAGATTGATAGCACTAGGAGGCGCGGCGAGGAAGCACAACACGGAACAGCGCAATCTTTTTAAAAGGCAAGCGCACAGCACTGCCTCACCGCAGCAAACGCTGACATTCTCAACCGGTCCTCTGTCTGCTCCTCTTCCGTCTGGTGATGTGAAGGAAGGTGTCAGTGGAAAGGTGAGGGCGAGGGTGAGAGGGGTGAAAGCAGTGACAGCAAGAACATGAATGACGTGGCGTTGAAGAGCCGGGCACTTCAAGTGTACAGAAGGAACAGGCTGCATTATCCCACACCAACCCCCAAAAAAGCGTGTACGCACGTGTGTTTCCCCGTGGGCTGCGAGGCGTGCTTCCGCCAACGCCAGCCGGTCTTCCGACGACTGCGGCGGTGCAGCCGTGTCATCACCACGATGATGATGGTGGCGATGATGATGGTGGTGATGGTCTTTGCCGGCCTGGTGATAGGCGCCAAGGATGAGATCAACAGCGTGAGCACCACCTGTTTCATCGTGGACACGCATGGAGGAGGAGGAGGCAGACAAGACAGGTGTACGGGCAGACACGCAGAGGAACGAACAACCAACCAAGCCAGCAAGCAAGAAAGCCAGCAAGCAAGCAAACGACCAACCTTGCGGACTGCTTTTGCCAGGCGCCGCATGCGCGTCTTTTCGATGCGAACAGCAGTGCCCGACACGATGGTTTGCACCTCTTCCATGGACAGAAATCCTGCGAAATGGAGGGAGAAGAGGGGGGGGGGGGTTTGACATGAGGCACAACGGCAACAGACGTGATGTGGAAACAAGACACACAGACACAGACACAGACACAGATGCATCTCTCGCCATGGTGTTCTTCACCACCATTGTCACCATTGCCGCACCTTCATCAATGCCAACGTGCGCGACTGTCAATGCCTGCAGGTGCTTGAGGTGCACGTATGCAGCACCCTCCGTCGCGTCCACATCCGCAGGGAAGCGCACACGCTCAGCCAGGCGCTTTGGGGGGGGGGTGTAAGGAGGAGGTGTGCGTGTGTGTGTGCGTGTGTATGTGTGACAGCATGGGGGAGGTGGTGGTGTGAGTGCATAGACATAGAAAAAGAAGACAAGGTTCATCTACTATACAACTGCGGTCCAAAGCCCCCCTCCCCTCAATTCCATGGCGAGCGCAGTCAGGGGCACACCTTGAGAGCCGGGTTGAGCTGGTAGCGCCCGTTGTCCGACTGCTGTACGTGTGTCAGCGTCTCCGGCACTGCCAGTCGCGCGTCCCGGGCCAAAGTCTGGCGAGATTGTGGTGGTGGTGGTGATGGTGGTGACACGATGGTGATGGCACGATGGTGGTGACACGATGGTGATGATGAACACAAGCGTGCACCGATCAGGCAGGACAAGGCAGCACCTGCATCGCGGGGACGGTGAGGTGGCCGCCCTCAGCCACCAGCGCGCGCATCACTTCCAGCGACATGTACCCGTCCCGCACTGTCAAGCAGACAACACAACGAAATTGGCCCACGGGTGAGATGATAACTGGGCACAGAAGGTGTGCACAGCACAAGTGGAATGCATACAGACACGTGTACAAAATGCATGTGGACACACGCGCAAAATGCACACACACACGGACACGCACACACGGACACGGACACGGACGCGCGCGCACACACACACACACACACACACACACACACACACACACACACACACACACACACACACACACACACACACACACACACACACACACGGACGAACGGGGCGTGATGTGCTCACTCTTTGCATTTTCCATCTGTTGTGCGTGGTGTTGGGCGGCCAGCCTGTGCAGTGGAAATGATGAGGTGCAATGGAGCATGGCATGAGGAATTAGGTGCAAAATGAGGAAGAAGGTGGTGAAGGTGGTGGATACAGAATAGCATGCTAGTGTGGGCAACGGTTGATGCTTACGTGGCTGCTGATTCAGATGACTGCTGGGCGGCTTTTGCAACGGCTGCTGACAACTGCACAGCGGCGATGGGGGGGGGGGTGGCGAGATGATGATGATGATGATGATGATGATGATGGTGATGGTGGTGGTGATGATGATGATGATGATGAGATGGTAGGATGCATCAGCATAGATGCAGGTTGCAAGATTGTGAGTGCGGGGTATACCTTTGTGTCCACTGCTGCTCCTTTGGTCTTCTTTGAGCGCGATCTGATAAGAAAAGATGGGTACATGATACCCATGATCAAATGAGAGCGGCAACGCCGCAAGCACGTAGGGAAGTGAGCGTGGACAAAGTGACACCAACACACACACACACACACACACACACACACACACACACACACACACCGGTACATGCATTAACAAAACACACTTTGACGAAGCAGCGGCGGCAGCAGCTGAAGGAGCGTGCTTGGTCCTGCCATGCCGGGCGCTGGTGCTGTCATCGATGTTGTCGTGTCGGCGCGGTGATGGTGTGCGCACACGTCCGGGCCGCTGAAGCTCAAACCCTTCAACCAACCTGATGTGACATGGAGGTGGTGGAATGGACGGGGACGAGCAAGGTGTAGTGACGCTGGTGAGGCGCAATGGGAAAACGTTTTGGTTTGCTCAACACACACACACACACACAGACACACACACAGACACACACACAGACACACACACATATACATGCATGTACAGTGTCCGGTTGGGAACAACCTGACAGGGAGCTTGCTGTCGCGTGTTGCAAGGGCGTGGATGAGGCCGGAGAGCGTTGGGCTGGAGGTGGAGGCGAGATGGAACTGCCCATCACCGCACTTGATCAGGAAATTCTGCAGCTTCCCGCTCGCCTGGGCACACGACGGTAGGGCGTGGGGTGGGGTGGGGTGATTACAGCGTGAGGAAGAAGAAGAGGAGGAGGAGAAGGAGGAGGAGGAGGAGGAGGAGGAGGAGGAGGAGGAGGAGTGGCTATTGTGGCAATAGGGGTGTACATGCTGAGCACGCGACCAAAGACTGGACGAGAAGGCAGGTCGACCAACGGACACACACAGACACACACAGACACACACACACGCACACACAGACACAGCTGGCACCTTTGTCTTGACGGCGAGGGCATATGCTGAAGGGTCACTGTCGGGGATGCGCACGAGGAAGCCGCCGACAGGGCCGCGCTGAGTCAGCACTTTTGCCACCACCCGGATCTGGACTCGCCGCAGCCGATAGGAAATAGTGTGAAGGGGTTGGTGGGAGATGTGGGGTGGTGTATGATGCTGCATTTTGCGTGGACCATATGCACAGCGCAGGCGGATTCAATGGAAGGCGAGCTGATTTGCACACACACACACACGCACACACGCACACATCTCACCTCGTCCTTTTGCGCGTCGCCCATGTACCAGGACGCAGCGACAGCGTCTGCATCCGCTGGCAAGCGACCCTCGTACTTGGTGCTTGGGAGAGGCGGCAGCGGACCCTTTCCGCCTGTTGACAGCACGCGCATAACACGCCACGCGTGGAAGTACAATGTCAGCGCGCTCGCAGCAATATCATGTTGACAGATGCAACTCATTCCGGCACAAGCAACGGCTGTTGTGGGTGGGGCGTGCGTGCGTGCGTGTGTGCGTGTGTGTGTGTGTGTGTGTGTGTGTGTGTGTGTGTGTGTGTGTGTGTGTGTGTGTGTGTGTGTGTGTGTGTGTGTGTGTGTGTGTGTGTGTGTGTGTGTGTGTGTGTGTGTGGACGTGTTGTCCTGGGAAGCGCACCTCGATACTTGAATGGCTTGGCGGAGGAGGGCATTTTGGCAAAGGAGACCGGGTTTGGGGTGAGGAAGTTGGAGGGCACGAGCCCCGTGCGGCCGCGACCGGTACACACCATCCACCAGCCGTCGTTGAACGTCTACGCCAGAAGAGGAGCCGGGGTGTTGAATACATAGGGCGTCGGGCAAAGCGTAGTCGTAGTGAGCGAGACACTCAGTGAGAGCAAGAAGCATGTGCAGCCAATGGTAAAGCAAAACAAGCAGCAAACAACACACACACACACACACACACACAAACACACAAGCACACACAACACACACACAATCGTGCACGCACCTCCAAGACCATGAGCTTGGCGTCTGCCTTGCACGTCAGCTCGTCGTCATCCTGTGCCACATACGCCGCAAGCGACACGTGCACAGGTTTGGCACTCATGGCTGACTGGCTGGATGGATGTGTGCGTGGATGGGGGCGGTGGAGGAGGTGTGCTGCTGATGTTGTGGTGTTGGGTTTTGCTGTCGTGCGATGAGAACCCAGCACGGTTGCTGAAAATTAGCTATATCTTGAACAGCTCTTCCACAACGCTGAGGTTTGCCGTTGTTCATTGCTCTGCACTCCTCAGCTTTGCGTCGACACCAGCCAACCAACCCAGTCAGCAAAAGGCCAATTGCGAGCAGACCACAGCATCCCCCCCCCCCCTTCACTTCTCACGCACATACGAAGCACACGGACCATGGAGCGTGGCGGCTTCTCCTTTGATCTCGTTCAGCGGTGTGTGTGTGTGTGTGTGTGTGTGTGTGTGCGTGTGTGTGCAACAGATGTTGTTTGCCTGGTGTTGTTGCTGTGTGTTTGCCACTGTGTGTGCATGTGTGTGTGTCGACAACTTGTTTGTGTTTTGTGTGCGTGTGTGAAATTGGCCATTGCCATTGCTTGTATCGGCTCATGTGGATGCGCGCATGCACTCTGTGCCGGTGTGAACAGCAACGAGTTCCTGCAGAGCGCAGGACACCATCCTCCAAAGGCGACAAAGACCGGCACAACCATTGCGGGCATCATCTTCAAGGATGGTGTCGTGCTTGGTGCCGACACCCGCGCCACAGAGGTTGGCGTGTGTGTGCATATGTGTGTGTGCATATGTGTGTGTATGTGTGCATATGTGTGTGTATGTGCGTGTGTGTGTGTGTGCTCGTGTTTGTCGCTGTTTCCATGCATACATTTCAAACAGAGCCTATGCTGTGGCCTCTGCCCTGTCCTTCTGTTGGCTTGCGCCATATTCACCCTCATGACCCGTTGTTCCGTTGCTTTGTACACACACACACACACACACACACACACACACGCACACGCACACTGTCTTTTTCCCTTTCACAGGGCACAATTGTCGCGGACAAGAACTGCGCCAAGATCCACTACATGGCGCCCAACATGTAGTACGTATCAACACCACCTCCTTCTTTTGCCACCGCAGTTGTGTGCTGCCAACAAGCCATTTCTTGTCTGTCTTGTCTGTTTTGCGCGTTGTTTCGCTGCTTCACGAGCCTCGACCCTGTTCATCACAAAACCTTTCATCACACAACCTCCATGCTGCAGCTGCTGTGGTGCGGGCACGGCCGCAGACACGGAGATGGTGACGAACCTTGTGTCGTCGCAGCTTGAGCTGCACCGGCTGGAGACGGGCCGCCAGTCGCGCGTCATCACCGCCCTTCGCCTCCTCAAACAGCGCCTCTACAGGTACACTGCGACCGGCTGGCGGTGACGGTAGAGATGGCGTTGATCGTGTTGTTGTGTTGACGGTGGTGCTTGGATGTGAGGTTGGGGTGATACCAACGCAAGCGATTGATAATGGTTGTTCCTCATCCCCATGCATGCTTCCGCTCTACCACCCCCACGACCAACACCAACACCAACACCACTGCTTCTGCGGCGGTGGCGGGCAGGTATCAGGGCCACATCTCTGCTGCGCTGGTGCTCGGCGGCGTGGATGTGTCTGGCCCCGTCCTCTACAGCATCTACCCACACGGATCAACGGACAAGCTCCCCTTTGTCACCATGGGTGCGTCTGTGCTGCCGTTCTGTGTTGCTTGCAAGACCACATGCTGCTCTTCATCACTGTCCTCGTCGTTGTTGCGAAACATGTTTTTCTTCCTTTGGTCACGCCTCTGTATCTGCTCGTTCCTGTGTTGCTACTGGTGCATCCTCACACCATTTATGCACGTGTGTGTGTGTGTGTGTGCGTGTCTGCAGGCTCTGGGTCGCTTGCTGCGATGGGCGTGTTTGAGGCGCGGTACAAGAAGGACATGGAGCTTGACGAGGCGAAGCAGCTCGTCCGCGACGCAATTGCCGCCGGCATCTTCAACGACCTCGTGCGTGGCCGTGACTGGTGGTGATAACTGGTGATGCTGATGATTGGTGGTGACTGGTGACTGGTGATGATGAAGACTGGTGGTGATTGGTGGTGATGAAGATTGGTGATTGGTGGACGTAGCCACGGTCATGATGCTGCTGCAATATGGGCGGTGGTGTCGTGCACGGCTACGACAGCTACTGTGACTTGCTCGACAGGACTGCTCGTGTGCTCACGTGTTGCTGTTGTTTCTGGTGTGCAGGGGTCTGGCAGCAACGTGGATCTTTGTGTGATCACCAAAGACGGGGTCGACTACATCCGCCCGCACGATGAAGCGAACAAGAAGGGCGAGCGCCTTGAGACATACTCCTACAAGAAGGGAACAACCGGTACGTTCTACGACGTCGTGCGTGCGTGTGTGTGCGCGCGCGTGTGTGTGTGCGTGTGTGCGTGCGTGTGTGTGTGTGTGTGTGTGTGTGTGTGTGTGTGTGTGTGTGTGTGTGTGTGTGTTTGCACTCCGTGAATTGCTTCTTTCCTTTGCCTTTGCCTCCGCCACCGCTTTCGTCCATTTTTTCTTCCTTGAATCTCACGATCCACGACCCTGAACCCTCCTCTAATCTCCTTTCCTGCGACCACCGTGCTCCCCGCCCCCACTTGCCTCGGCGTGAACACGACAGCTGTGGTCAAGGAGCGGGTTGTGCCAATCAAGCCCGTGGTCGTGTCGGAGGTTGTGTCGCCCGTGCCGCCCCCACGGCCCGAGGAAACACTCGACTAAGCCTTCCATCCAATCAACCAAATCCATCCATCCATCCATCCAACCATTCCACCCATCCCACAAATCCAACCATGCAATCCCCGACCGCCACCACAGACCATGTTGGTGGTGATGATGACGATGCTCGCTTGGCGTGGCGTTGCGTGTCTCGTTTTTGCTGGCTTGTGGATGTGGCCGTGCGTTCCTTTTCAGCTGCCACAACTTGCCTGTTGTCGTTCTTTGTCTGCGTGTTATGTGTGCGTGTGTGTGTGTGACATGTGCATGTGCTGTTTGCGTGTCATCTGAGCGAGTATACGCATCTAAAAACCGCGTTTCATTTCAGCCGAGTGTGCGAGTCACAAACAACAGACAGATACATACACATGCACGTGCCAGGCAGACACACACACACACACACACACACACACACGACCACACAACATGCAATGACAATTACTATGAGAGACAGCATTCACGCACGCGCAAATGTGCACTTGAACCAGCAGGCAATGAATGGGTGAACCAACAACAAATACATAACCAACAATAGCACCACCACCATGGTGATTGTCACGGTCACAGCAAGTCAGTTGCAGCAGCTGGTGCAGCATACAGGCGCCACCGACGACAGGACAGGGGGGCATGACAGCAATCAAGGAAGCGTGTGTGGTGGACGGGGAGCAAGTAGTCTCGTCCAGTGCACAATAAAATCGAAAAGCAGAAGGACAAGAGAGAGAGAGGGGAGAAGGAGAGGGATTGACTTTGGCTGGCACGCATCACACCACGCAAAACACTGGGCACAGTGTCACAGCCACAGCAATGACAGCACAAACAATGCGCACGTGTGTGTGTGCATATAAGTGCGCGCTACTCTGGCGGGATGTCGACGATGAGCGGGGTGATGTATTCTGAGTGGCGGACGCCGAGCGAGAAGGCCGGCGAGCGACGCTTGTGCATTGTCACCTTCTCCGGGCTGTGCGCGCCGGGGCCTGGCTTCATCGTCTTGTCTGAGGTGCCGATACAAAGCGCACAGCCGTGGTGCAGTTGCAAACCGCATGGGACGTGAGAGCATGACGGGTACGCAGATGCAGGTAAAGAAAATGTGGCAGAAACCATGGCGTCACCGAGTTGGCGTGCAGAACCACATGCGCAGATCGCAAACAAATGCACGCAGACACAGACAGACAACCAGACAGACAGACAGGCAGGCAGACAGACAGGCGGACACACGCACACACACACAGACATGCGCATTGCCGGGTGCGTGCTGACCTGATGGCGCCTCTGTGCGGCCCGTCATGGAGAATGCGGGTGCCCGCCTGCGCGTGTTTGTGCTGGCGTTGTAGGTGCCGGGCCCGGGCGTCTTCTTTATTGTCGACGCGGCGATGCTCCCAACTTGGTGGCGCACCCCCATCGAGTGCGATGGGCCCGAGCGGTGGCGCCCATACACGGACTTGCCCAGCGAACCCGGCATAGTGTAGTTGTTGGGCGACGGCACCTCCGTCTTGCGGGGGGAGGCAACGCGTGCGCCCATCGAGTAGGCCGGCGACCGCCGCTGGCGGGGCGGCGCGCGGCCCTCCGTCGCATATGCACCGGGCCCTGGCGAGGCAAACTTCTTCGTCGAGCGCGGGCGGCCGGAGATGGTGAATGCAGAGCCCGAGGTCTTGCCGTGGCGGGACATGGTTGGATCGACGTAGTGGGGGCCGGGGGCCTCCTGCGTCTTCTTCTCGGCTGTGCGCGCACCAAACGAGAAGGCGGGCGCCACCTTGCGGGTCCTGTCGGCAAACGAGCTCCCTAGTGACGATTGCGTGTGTGTGTACGAGTGAGTGAGTGAGTGTGTGTGTGTGAGTGCGTGTGTGTGTGTACGAGTGAGTGAGTGAGTGTGTGAGTGTGTGTGTACGAGTGAGTGAGTGTGTGTGTGTGTGAGTGAGTGAGAGAGAGAG